GAATTGACAATATTTTGATAGAATTGCGACTGAAAGTCAGAAAGTATTTGTAATATAAACGTCAAGAAAACTATATATTTTTTAAATGCTCATGTATTCGGCCACTTAAAAGCGAAAAAATTACAGCTTAAACAGATATTGTAAAATAAATGTTTTCCCATTTATAAAAGAAGGTTTAACTGCAGCAGTGAAAACAAGTCACGAATATATTCTCTACCCATTTGTTTTTGTGTCATGTATTTTTCACTGATATAAACAAAGTAAAAGTTTGTGTTTAAAAACACTTTTTTCAAGCATATTATCGTGAAAAGACAAGAAAAAATGCAAAAATATAAAAATAACATACCTTTTTCATTGTCCTTTTAGTAGAAAAACGTTAATAAATCAAAACAGATTCATTTTTATATGTTTTTGATCGGATCTGAACATGAATCTGTCGTTGTCAGGAGCAACTTGCCAAAGCCAAAGCCAAAACGCCAGGCATAAAAGTTTTTATTCCAAAGCTTTTCTGCTACCATATTCATGAAAAAAGCATGTACATTTTTACTGAAACTATACGTCTTTTTGTGTGTTTCTTGCCAGTTTTCTCGAGTTTTCGTATTCGTGTTTTATATTTTTTAACTTTTCAATTTTTGTCAGCCTCGCTTTGAAAATACACAACTGCACTGATCTCAAATTAGTTCTCAAGCAACACTGGAATTTTAATCAATTTAATTTTTACATCTGAATAGATCTGATAAAAAATAAACACGTTATTTACCGGCAGTGTCGGTCAGGATGAGAAAAACTGTGCCCTCGGTCTTGAAAGACCTCGGGCACAGTTTTTCTCATCCGGACCTCGCAGCCGGTAAATAACATATATATATTTTATGTCAAAATATAAAAAAAGTTTAAAATTTAAAAAATTGGAGAGGGAGGTCTTTTTATATTTGCCCTTAAATATATTATAGAAGAACGCTGTATAAGTGGATAATTGCACATGCGCTAATGAACATGCATAAGGGTCCACACCAGAGGAGGTTGGAAGCCCTTCCCGGCATGCATTGTAACTCATTAATATTATCGATTTCCCGGGACGCGCCGTCATTGTTCGACTAGCTCTCGTTGTGTTCACTACTCAATTTACAAGGAGCGGTATTCAAAAGTGCAAATTGAAAATTGTAAATCATGGCGAATTTTCGTACTGTTCGTGGCAACAAAGCTACTGATTTGGATGGACGTGACAATATTTATGTACATTGTGTGTCGAAAGAGCGACTGGAGCTGCTTCGTGAAGGGATGTCGAACTTCTACTGTAAGAAGTTTTATGGATATAAACGACAATGGTGTAAAAGTTGAAGATATTATATTTTCGCCGAATGCGATAGTCCTTCATTGATAGAAATCTATTCTAGTTGTGACAAGGTACGATTATCTTATAATTTAATTGGTGGGAAATGGGCCATTTATACTCGGAAATCATACAAGTATTTGACTTTATATCAAATGAGTCGAATCTATTTTAATATAAAAGAGCAGTGAGGAGGGGCAAAGGGGGCAGAAGTGCACTATGAGTTATAGAAATTCTGCCTGCTAAATCTTATCTCCAGTTTTGGCAAAGTCATGAGGTGTGAACTTGAATGTGACCTGATTAAGTGTGTTTGTGCATTTATAGTTCCTTGTTGAGTAGACTTTATTGCCAGAACACAGAACAGCTATCGTCAATGGAACATGCACAATCAGGCTTTCATTGGCAAGTCAACACATAATTGTAGGTCTATAAAGGTGCCCTTGCCTTTTTATTGTTCCAATGTCCCTGTATAAATGCATCAAATCTTTTTTACCTGTAGTACTTATGTTGTGTTCTGTTGTGGGAGTTTAACATTATTCCATCACCAACTTCTGTAACAATCCGACCACCTAAGCTGGATATTTTAGAGGATATACTGAATGACCTACCACTGGTGAATTTAGATGAGCCATTGTTATGCAATTACATTAAGCAGCCATTAAATCCTATGTGTTTAGTTAAAATTCATGGTGAAGAGATGCCTGGTGATGTTGAAAGTATTGGTGCAGAAGGTGGAGTTCCAGACATGGACAAGATTGATGAAATTCAGCAGTTGACCCGATTGTTGGGTGTGGAACAGGCTACTGGTGATGCTAAATACATGAATGATTTAAGCTCTGATTAGGAGAATGATGGAGACAAGGATTCTGAAGGACAAGGATTGTGGAGGAGACACATTGTATCCTGAGAATTAAGACAAGGATTATGGAGGACCAACTTGTGATAATCATGTGTAGATGATGAAAAATCTCAAGTTGAAATTTAAAGTAGAGCATGAGCAAGACATTTTTAGTTGAGATTTTCATATAAATTTATTCCTATTAAAACACTATTATTTCAGGTAAATATTTGATATTAGTATTTTTGCACAAGTGAACATAACAAATCCTACAAGGTGATTGGTCAAATTTGATGTATTAATCTGTTATATTCACCTACAGGTTATATTCACTTACAGGTGAATATAACAAAATCAAAACTTTCAAAATGGCAGCTAGCCGTTTTGTTGAAGTTAGTAATAAAGAAATAAGTGAAATTAAAATGAATTCAGATCAGAAAAATACAAAAAAACTTGTGCAAAAATACTAAAACAATTATTCACCTCAGGCTCTGTGATTATCCGGGAATATTCACCTTGACTTCATCTCGGCGAATATTCCCCGATAATCACCTCGAAAAAATGGTAAAAAAATTATTTTACTATTCCTTTTTCAAATAAATAAATGTTTTCAGACTCAATTTGCTGTGTTTGTTTACTGCAGTTATCAAATCCCTACTTTATCTTATAGTCCACCTTGTGCATGTGTTCTTAACACTGTTTTAACTGTTGTATATTTAGCACAGATGGATCACTGCATTATCTAAAGACGGATCCGGTATGATGTGGTAGGGAGGGTGCTCTGCCAGCTCTGGTGCCAAGTTGTGTCAGTCATGTGTGCTGCCCATCAACTTACTTGACTGCAGCAAAGTCTTGCTTGACTACTGTATTGTAATTGTTAACAAACAGTTTACTTATCATCATGTTATTACTCAAATTACTCATTTTGTCTCTAATATTTTTTGCTTTATCATGAAAATAGCCCCCCCCCCCTGCATACCCTCTGGCCAGGGCTAGGTGGGGGGTGCACACACCCCAGTAAACCCATCCCTGATATTTGGTGGTCATAAAGTAGTGGTCATACACAAATGATGTTAATAAAATGCTTTATTCAAAGTTACAATATATAAAGTAAATCACTTAAGATTTGTTGCAACATTTTCATGTCACCAATACACCAATATTTACATGTGTGCATACTAAAATATGTATCTGAGGCTGGTATGGGCAAATTTATATAACAGGTTGCTCTTATTATTCTAGTTCAATAGTTTCATTGCTTGAATCAGTTGAATGGATCATGAGCACAACTTGGCTGGATTAGATGTTATACCATTTGCCAAAGCAAGATGTAGGAACAGTTTGTTCAATAACAGTTCTAAATCAGCTTTAAATTCATAAGTTGAACTTTTCCCATACTTAGGATCAACAATATAAACAACATTGCCATCATTGTCAGATTCCATTTTCACAAAATATATTCGAATTCTATAAAAATGATGGTAAAATACAGTGTATTTAACTTAAATGCGGCAGTTAAACTCAAGAACGATCGACATATATGCCCATGCTTCGAAATAAAACAAAAATAATGACTCGTACAGTAATTTTCCTCGCGCCATAATTCCCATGCAGTCGACTATTCCCGCGATGGGCGACATAGTATACCGAAAATGCACCATTTTCAAACCGCGATTACTCGTCAGTTTGATGGGGACAATTCATTTTTTAAACTTCTCATAGAAAGAACAACTCTTCCTGAATACGATGGTGTGTCTTTTATTTAATTTACTCATTTATAAACCCAATTGTCCCCAGCGGTTTTGAAAGCCACTTTTGACACTTGTGCATTGACCCAGAAAACAGGTCAATACAAATTGCGATTAACATATAACTAAACGTTGTTAAAACACCAAATGAAGCAAAAATCGTTAATTTGACTCATATTTAAAACACTTATAAAAACTTACCTTCAAAAACACGAACTTTTCGTGGCGAAATATCGAAATAAATATCCACAACTTTTCCAACTAACATTGTGAAAAATCATGATTGTGAATATTAATGAGTTGCAATGCATGCTGGGAAGAGCTTCCACCCTCCTCTGGGTCCACACAAATCGTTGTAATAAGGCTATAAGCCCATTTTTTCCTTCAGTATTCCAAGCATCCCTTAACATGTTGCAATATTAATGATAAAAAATTTTATATCGCAAAAATTCCAATATAAAATATAAAAATAACTGAATCTCTGAAGATGGTCGGTTGGGCGGTAAATTTATATTTTATAACAAAATACAAAAATATATCAACGCAGAAACCAAAATATCGTCGGGCGGTGGTGAGAATCAAGGAATTTATTTTATATGGCCTTAGCGCATGTGCAATTATCCACTTATATAGCGTTCTTCTATAATATATTTAAGGGCAAATATAAAAAGACCTCCCTCTCCAATTTTTTAAATTTTAAACTTCTTTTTTATATTTTGACATAAAATATAAAATATAAACCTCCCGCCTCCTGGGAGTTTTTAAAATTTAGCGATGAGAATCAAGGAATTTATTTTATATGGCCTTAGTGCTTCCTATACAAAAAACAAGTAAAGATGTCAGTATCCCATACCTTTCATTGGTTCTAAAGCCATGCATGCTATATTAAATACACTGTGGTTATAGGTACAACACCAATCGTCTTGTTCTATATGGCTATACGATACTTGTCTATAGATCAGACAACCTTTAAATCTAACAAGAAACCTAAATTTAACCCTGAAAAATACCCTAACTCTAAATCTTACCCTAACCAAAAGGGTAAAAATTAATTGCAAGTTGCAAGAAAAACTGCATTGTGTATTAAACATGGCCTTAACAGTTCTTTTAACAAGTACCTTTATCTTTTAAATCTGCCAAAGAGTTGGCACAGATGCAAAACTTTTGTGGGTTTCTTTCACTTTGAACTTTGAACAAGGGCATGTCTCCAATATCTATATATTACTATTAAAAAAAACAAAAAATATTTTCAATGTTTACAGTAATGAAATATTAAAATTGCACACGGTAATAACAATGTTTTAAACTATTAAAAAAACCCAAAAGTTTTAACACATGTATATATAAATTATTCATATTCAAACACATGGAAATATGGAGGAATTTCATCCATAATTTATATATAAATATATATGAACATTAAAATATCTATATACACTGAATACACACGGAAAATAATCAGCAAATAAAACAGATATCAAATTTAAACTTACCTTTTATACAATTACGTAAAAAACACTGTAAAAAGTGACTAAAACCTTTCCAAATACAAAGCACTTTCGTCGACTACGTCAGAGCCTCAGAAGACCACGCTGGATTTATTAGTTTTACGCATCACTGCTCATGCGCATAAATAACCTGCGAGCAGGCTGGGCGAAATTCAAACCGCCCCATCCTGGGGACAGGCAGGTTAGAAAATGTCCCAGGGAGGGGATGAATTTTATGATCAAACCCCCTATATTGTCCCGGCCTCCCCCCCCCCCAACGGGGTTTACATTGATAGGTGCATTACTCAGAAGTTCAAATTTTGTTAAATAATTGTATAGTTGATCATACAGAATTCGTTCCATAACTTTACTTATAGCTGGCAAAACTGAAATTGGTCTGTAGTTTCCTGCTGCATTTTGTTGGCCATTTTTGTAGAGAGGTATTACTCTAGCCACTTTCCATTTATCAGGGAAAGAGGAGAGAGTAACTGCCTGATTAAAAATATATGTCAACGAATCTGAAATGGCAGGAGCTGCTATTTTAATAATTTTACAAGAAATTTTATCAATTCCAGTTGCTTTATTGCCAGAAAGTCCATGCAAGAGATGGTAGACATTACTGACAGTAACCGGCTGGAAAGCAGTGAATTCTGATTTAGAATTTTTAACATATTTTTTAAAGCTGTCATTCGAAGTATGAATATTGCTTGCTAAATCAGGGCCAATACTTGAAAAATAATCATTAAAGCCCTCTGCAATATCTTTTGGACTTGTTAAACTATTGTCACCCAGCTTTAGCTCGTTCACCACTGTTGGTTTGCTTTGTCTACCTAATAGATTGTTTTCCAAGCATTTTTTGGATCACATTTTTGACCAGCAATTTTCGAGGAATAATAATCTTTTTTTAGCATTTCTAAGCTCTATGTTCACTTTATTTCTTGTTGCTTTATAATTTTTCCAATCCTTTTCTAGGTTTGTGATAATGGCTTTCCTTTTTAATTTGTCCCTTGTAACTATAAGTTTCTTTATATCACTTGTAATCCAAGGGATTTTTTTTTATCTAATTTTTTTGTGTTGAAGTGGTGCATGCTTATCAAGGACCTCTAAGAATCATTTCTTCCAAGTTTCCCACATAGTGTTTGGGTCATCAGCAAAAAAGTATACATATTCCCAGTGCTGATCCTGAAGATCCTCAACAAATTTTTGATTATCAAAATTTTTCATATTTCTAATTTCAGCAGTGTTTTCTTGTTTTTTAAAAATGGAATGTTTCCTAATTGCGTATATCATACTATGATCACTTATACCTGTATGTATAACACCAGAATTTGAAATTTTCTCTGGTTTATTGGTAACTATATGGTCAATAAGGCTGGTGGTAGTCATAGTTACTCGAGTAGCTTCATTGATCAACTGTGATAACTGATACAATTCATATAGTGACTTAATTTTCTTTGTAGGAAGATTTGATTCCTTATCTGTTTTTAGCATGTCACAGTTTAGATCACCAAGAATATACATTTCTTTATCTTCATCATCAATAGTTTTGATTAATTTTTCAAACTGGTCAAAGAATTCAGATGATGAATCTGGTGGTCTATAAGCTGTTGTAATAAGAAATGGTCGGCTATGTGGCTTAATAACTTCTACACAAACACCCTCTAGTTCAGAGGGAATCAGATCATGTCTTATATTGTAATTGATTGAGCTACGCAAATAAATACATACTCCACCTCCATTTCTCGACCTATCTTTCCTAATAATATCATAACCATCAAGGTGAATCAGGTTATCAGGTATACTTTGGTCAAGTCGTGTTTCATTGAAAGCAATGAGATCAATGTACTTGTTTGACATTGAAAATCTTATTTCATCAATTTTTTTGGGCAGACTAACAATGTTTAGAAAAGCCATTTTGAAACCTCTTTCTTTAGGAATGGAGTTTAGGCTAGTTAAAAAATCGCTACTCACATAATTTGTTTACAATATTAGGATTTCTATCTATTTGCTCAGCAACCTCTGGCTGACATACTCCAGGTATAGAGTCCACTCTCTGTTCCTGTGTCCATAAACATGGTGAAAACCCTGGTTGTTTTCACTTAAAGGCACTGATACCTTACTAGGGGTTTTAACTCTATTAGATTTAATATATGTGCAGAATGCACTGCCTAGAGCACTGTCACCTTTCCGGTTTAAATGTAGATTTGAGCCATTTAAAAAGGACTTATCAATATTGTTATTAATAAAGTGAACATTATGCTTGGAGCATAATGTTTTCACTAAGCCATTATAACAATTTATTTTGTTTGAACTTACTCGGCCATCATACCTTTGAATAACACTTGATACAGCAACTTTCGTTGTGTGTGTCTTTACTTCTTCTAATAGCTTCTCCATATCTGCCGCCACTTGTTCAGCCTCTTGGTGAACCAGATCATTCGTCCCAACGTGAAGTATGATGCAATCATACTGCTCTTTGTTTCGGTGTTCCTTGAATTTCTCATTAATCTGGTTAACTCTTGCTCCACTATAAGAGTGGGAAACCGATTTACTTCCTGCAGCCTTTTCAATTTTCTTGCTGTCGATGTGTTTGATCATGGAATCACCAATCACAATGGTTTTGTTCAGGTCATTTCTTTGCTTGGCACCGATATTTTGTTCCATATTCTTCCATGTTGATACTTTTCCTGACTTAGACTTTTGCTTTGGATGGCTGACATTGGTTTTATGGCTACTATCCATATTTTTCTCATCATCATCCAATGCTGGAAAGCTAGTATATGCTTCGTCTTCTTCTGGCTCCTCAACATCCAGTGTTGAAAAGCTGTTATGGACTGGGGTTTCAGATGGGATATCCACAGCTTTGATTTCAATAGATGGGCTTTTTCTTAGAATCTACTTTAATCCACTCACTTTGTTTCATCTCTAAAACGTTCTTTATTGCAGAGTTAGCGATTCGATTTCGGTCGCCATCTTGGAAATATGTTCTGAAACCAAACTTTCGACTTTCGCCTCGGATTCACCCGCTCGTTGACTTTCTTCATCTTGCTTCAACTGTAACTTCGTAAACATCGACATTATGCGATCTATTTCAGGTTTCATGTCCTTGCAATTGTCACATGTTGATACTTTGCTTTCGCCTTCGGGGACAACAACATGAGCAAGCACGTGTTCGACGATGGACGTTTTGGGTTTGTCATTGAATTCAATGTTCGCTGTACGTGCAAATCCTTCGAGACACGTCTCCAAGTATTTGTCTTCGTCGTCTTCAAGGATCGATAATCTTTTGCTCTTTGGTCCCTGCCATTTCAGGGAGAAATTTTGATTAACAAATTTCTTTGCTTCCCCACCAGGCGACAGCCATCTACCACTCAATTTTATTTTGCCTTCTATGAATTCTTTCAAGCACTCAAAATCTCCCTTCCAAAATAAATTGCCTTCACTTGTATATAAGAAAGTGGATTTTGAAATCTCTGGGCAAACTACGTTGGTTTTTTGTTGAGAAATCGAACAAGATAGGGAGCTCACACTTTCATAACCATCCGCCATCTTGTGTCTGTGTATCATTTATATACATCTCCTTCCCTTTTTTGTACTGGACCGAGAAATGGTACTGTTGCAACTTGAGCATCATGTGCTGAAGTCGTCTAGGTGCTTTACTTAACGGTTTTCGGAAGATTGTTTCCAGTGGCTGATGATCTGTGTGAACGAGGATGCTTTTCTTCCCGTAGAGGTATTGGTGCCATTTGCTCATACAAGTAACGATGGCCAGACACTCCTTCTCAATCTGCCCGTAGTTTCTTTCAGTTGAATCAAGAGTATACGACGTAAAACACACTGGCTTCCCGTTCTGAAGTAAAACCCCACCAATTGCTTCATCTGAAGCATCTACTTGCAAGGTTACAGGTAGCGTGACATCGTAGTACTGCAGAATAGTGCTGGATGCAATGAAATCTTTCACCGAGTTGAAAGCGCTTTCGTGAACATCTGTCCATATAAATTCTACGTTGATTCTAGTTAGATCTCGCAATGGTAAGACAATCTTACTCAGTTTTGGGCAAAACTTCGACAGGTATTGACACATTCCCAAGAAACGTTGAACTCCATTTCTGTCGACAGGCTTTGGCATCTCTTGTATAGCAATCACTTTGGATGGGCCAGGGGCAACGCCTTTGTCGGTGAGGATGTGTCCCATGAAAGAGACCGAAGTTGCTTTGAATTGGATTTTCTTGGCTGATAATCGCAGGTCACGTTCGCTACATCGGTCCAGTAATGCAATTAAGTTCTTATCGTGATCTTTACTTGCTTGTTCGTCTGTATCTCCACATCCAAAAATGCAAATGTCATCAGCGATGTTTATGACACCCTCCAAGCCCTCCAGAAATTCTCGCTGTCTTCGTTGGTATTCTTCCGGACCAGATGAGATTCCAAATGGCATGCGCAGATATCTATAGCGTCCATTTGGACCTTGGAATGTTGTAAGTAAAGAGGAGAGTTCATCTAAAACTACGTTGTGGAACGCCTCTGACACGTCAACAATTGTAAACACTTTCGCTTTAGTAAGAAATGGAAGCTTTTCTTCGATTGTTGGAATAGTGTAGATTGGACGCTTTATTGCTTTATTTATTGTCTGACTTGGATCAATGCATATTCGGAGTTTTCCATTAGGCTTTTCTGTTATCAGCATGTTCGATAACCAGTTCGTTGGTTGTGTGACTGGAACTATAACACGTCCTTCGCAGAGCTTCTCCAATGCTTCATTAACTCTCTGTACCTTTGCAACGGGAATATGTCGTCGAGGAGCATGTACTGGTCGAATGTCGGGATCCATCTCGATATGCATGGGTGCACCCAACGGATTTCCTTTTCCTGGTTGGAATACTTTATCATAATGCTCTAGAACAAATTCTTTTGTTAACTCCCCCAATTGTGGAATTTTGCTGGACTTGTGAAGGGGTTGGGCTCTTTGACGCACACTTTCTTGACCCTGGATGTTGCTTGCTGGACTTTGCACTCTGAATTCTGATGATTGAGCTGTTCATTCTGGATTTTCTGATTATGCACATTTGAATTCTTGTCCGTTTTTACTTCATTCACGGAATGAATCTCATCTGCATGAATATCCAAATATCCCAGGATCTCTGCGTCTCGACCACTCAACAATGGCGGTTTTCCACGAGGTACGTCGACTACCAGGAAATCAAGTAGATGCAATTTTCCTTTCCTTTCGCAGCAGAAAGTCACTTTGCCCTTTGGTTTTATCTGTTGATCTCCATATGTCTGGATCACAGCTTTGGTTTTCTCAATTTTAATGTTCGGGAAATGTTGATGTAGAATGTTCACAGGGATAGTATTACACGTTGACGATGAATCGATTTGTGCTTTGACAACCTTTGATCGATTGGTTTTGACAACGGTTAGATGTGCGAAGAATTTTCGTGCATTTTCTTGTTTGTTCATATCGTGATCTGTCATGAACAATTCTTCATTTACATAATTATCTTCGACTTCAACTTGATTTGCATATTGTTGTTGTTGCAGTTGCATGTATGGTTTTCGACTCTCGACGCTTCCAGGGACGTTTCCAGCGTTTCTACAAGCTCTGGCAAAATGTCCGAGTGTGCCACATTGGTTGCATCTTTTCGAATACGCTGGACAGAATCTCTGACGGGTTTGCTTATGTTGACCACTACACCAAAAACACGGGTTGCGGTTCGATTGCTTTTGTTTCGTATTATTGTTATAATTGACTTGTTCATACACTTGTGTTTCTCTGGCCGTTTTCATGAGTTGATTTGTCGCTGTCGTTGCTTCAAATGTTTTAGCAACTTCGACAACTTCTCGCAGGGTAACCTTCGCTCGTTCACCGTCCTTATGTCTGTCACCTTTGCCGATGAGCTTAACACGGAGTTGTTCTGATGCTAAGCCTGATATGAACTGGTCTCGCATGAGTTCGTCTTCAAAACTCTCGTATTCACACTGAGCACTCTGATTTCGTATACGGGACTCCCATGAACTTATTGATTCAGCGTCTTGTTGCAGTAAGCGAAGAAACTTTTGCCGTTCCCCGAGATTCCAATACTTGCGCCATAATATTCTCGCAATGCTTGAAGTACTGAATGAGGCTTCTTTTGCTCTGCTTCGCTAAGACCTAAGCTGTATTTGTATACAGTTCTTGCTGATGGTGTAAGACATGCTCGAAGGCAAGCTATTGCTTTGTCAGCTTTGATCCATCTTTCTTCTTCGGTTGACTTTGACAGGTCATACCAATTATTTAGCATACAGTAATCTTTTAAATCTTCTTCAAAGATCTCCATGTCGTGCTTGTCGTCTCCTGTACTTTTGAATGTTGGAAATGGCAAGTTCGTAGCCATTATTTAATGTTAAGTTGCTCTTTGTACCGAGATGTTAGACGTGTATATTTGTCTAAAACCCACTAGCTGCCACCATGTTAATATTGCTTTATTATTCTCTAGAACCTAAGTAACATACATAATAAGAACCTACTGTATTTATACTGTTTACATGCATGATTAGCATAAATGTTAATATAACCTATCAACAGATTAACTTAACTCTCATCTAAACGTACATATTCTTGCACATCCTCTTTCATCTCATTCAGAAAATAATAATTTGAAATCTTGTTCAACGTAGCATTCACACCACTGTGCCTTCCCATAGCATTGCTATGGCGATGATGCAATATTTCTGCAATTTCTTCTAAGGTAAGAACAACCTTCTTTTGGATTCCAACTTTCCCACCAGTGTAATGCAGCTCATTATCTGAAATGTATCATAATCACATAATGTAAAAAAAAGTGTGTTTTGTCTTACGGCAGCCAATTTTACATGCACCTTATTGTTTAATTTTACTCAGTCTCTATAGTGCCAGCTGTGGCGTCAGGTAATTTTACTTGTCAATTGCAAGGGGAAGGGTCTTGTGTGTTAACTTAAATAGTCAATTGCTACATTAATTAGATTAAACATAAAATGCTTCCAAACTACCTGCAGGATATTTTCATCAAATTCATCAATACACAAGAAGTCCATAATCATAACACTAGGCATAGAGAATTTAATTATACATTACCAATGCCAAATATTAATGCTATGGAAAAATCATTGGGCTACAGAGGTGCGGAGACTTGGAATGCTCTCCCAATTCACCTGAAGTCGCTAGGAAGTGTAGCAACTTTTAAGAGTGGGGTAAAACAATGTAGATTGATATAATGTTAAGTTATAAAATTCTTTTATATTTATAGTAGTTAGCACACAGCCTATTGGAAGATCACTTTTTCTGGTTGTTTTTGTAAATAATATATTTTAACTCTTTATCGACAAGCGACATTTTGATGATTTTATGATTCCATTTTTATAAAGTAAATATCTCAGCGCATGAATGAATGCCGTCAAAACATTACACAAACCGAAACAATCATAAATTTACTCACCACTTGGCCAAATATTCTGTATTTTGTTTCCATAAAAGGTTAAATATCTTGTGACATCTTCAGAGTTTGCCACAAATCAATATGAGTGAAATATTCCTTGTATCCAAGCGCTTATATCCTCGTGTTTTATTCACGATTATGACATTATTAATTTTGTTGTTAACCCTGACCACAACTTAACCAATGTCAATCGAATTTGTTTGCAACATATGAAAATTGAAAATATATAACAAAAATATGGGCATGGCAACTGTCCAGAAAAAAGACCGTAAATATATGTACTGTATGCCACTTTTTAGTAACTATATTTAAATTATAACATATGTTTTTGTTGCTTTCAACGATCTTGTTGCAAATTAAAGTACCGGTATGTTTCAGACTATATAGTACTGAAAATACAGTGCAGTTCATACGCCTGAAAAATTCCCGCCAAGGACCACCTGCATCAGTGGACCAATTCACCACTGGACATTACATTTTGCCTGAATTGCAGAAAAGGCTGTTTGAAGTATCCTAGACCTTCGAATAATGATGTCATTTGTTTCTTCACTCAAGATATATTGTGTGTGATGATCTTTCAATATCTGGCTTAAATCTGTCACGTTTCTGTTAAAATAGAAATGATAAAAACTAGCTTTTACTTGTGCCACACCTTAAATATAGTCTCAGAATCACATCGCCATTGTGTAGTAATTGTAACTATGACAATGAAAGAGTAATATACATAAAAGAAATTGATTCACTCATTTAAGTCTTGGATAGATGCTTCAATTGCAATGTTTAATGTTGTTCTCCTCCTCTTCCCATGTGGGAATCAACAAGTCACTATCATCATCTGAGTCAATCAGATTTACAAATGACGAATATAATGCTGCAGTTCTGTAAGATGTAAAAAGTTTATAATTATATACTATTGCATGCACTGAGGTGCATAGAAGAAAATGCAAAATATAAGCAAGTACATGTAGCTAATTACATCTGGTGCACAACTATAGTACTATACATATCTCCCCTTACTGTATCTATACACAAAAAAAAACAACTGTGATCGGGATTCCACATTGTCATTGCCTATAATATAATACAATATACAATCGTGCAATTGAATGTTTCATTTTAGGAAAACCCTGTAACAATGGTGAAACTCGATGCTTTCCTTCCATACATTATCAACCCATTAAATTGCAATGCACCCAAACACGCCATATGTTTTTTTACGCTGTCTAAGGCAAGGTGATTTTATGCATGTCAAAGAAATGTTCTTGAACATTAATGGTTAACAAAACTAAGAGTGTCTATGTCACCCAGTAAGCTGCAATGCACCCTACTTTGTTATTTTACTCTGTCTAACAAGGAAAGGGTACTTGGCCAGGGAAGCAGCCAACCTCATCTGCAGCTTCTTTCCTCTTGTGAAGGGAACATCATGGTAGCAACTTGTCATGTGACCTGCTGTAATCTGGCACAAATTTAGTTAGGGTTATGTCATTTTGCTTGGTACGAGATTGAAAAAACTATAAACCTTACTGAGGTCAATTAACTAATCCATTTACAACTCATAAAAATGACAAAGATTTTAGCAGATCACATGACAAGCTTACCAGGGTCTTCCCTCCACAAGGGGGAACTGTTTAATATAAAAGCACACATTAAAACAAACATTTAGTTGTTCTGATGTATTTTTAATAGGAAAATATATCCAGACAAAAGTATTAACTCCTAATAAATATAAATTTAATTTTTTTTTTAAATTTAATTGTCCGCAAAATATACTTGTAGTTTTGCATAGCTACTGTAGCTTACCCATTCGTATTGGAAGGTCTGCCTTCTTCCTGTTTTCTCATCCTCTTCCTTGTTTCAACACCACAGTAGGTTTTTCATCAGGGGGACATCTCTCTTGGGGACATCTGAATCCTCATCATTTGATTCAACCTTTAGATGACAGACCAAAGCAAACAAACTAGTCTCAGCTAAAATTTGCAACATCATTACAGCACCATATTAGCAACAGCCAGGGTAAAATTATCAAGCATGCACAAATATACATTTATGTCAACAAGATTTGTAGATGGTTTAAGTATAGGTTATTTTGAGGCAACGAGGGGATATGTGATTTATTCACCGAGGCGCGCAGTGCCGAGGTGAATAAACACATATCCCCGAGGTGCCTCAAAATGACGTACTTATTTTTCACATTGCGAGGTCGCGTTAATGAGTCAGAATAGAAATAATTCTTAATGCCATATTGCCTTCGTGATGTTGTTTTTTCTCATTTTTTTGTGCTGCAAAGACATTGCAGGTGAATATTAGGGGGATTATTAACTGCAGGTGAATATTAGAGGGGATTATTAAACGGAAATTGATTAGAGGGGAATATTGAATATATTCCCCGATAAGAACAAAGGAATCCGAGCAGGGTGAAAAATAAGTACTATCTACAACATGAGCGGCCGTGTTGTATCGGATATACAAAAATGACTCATCTTATGAGCTCACTGGCGAAGTAATTTTAAAAATGAACGTTGTCTAAGCAGAGAAAATCAAAGTTAAAGTTTATGTAAATCAACATGAATCTGTATCACATATACAGATACGACACGCTTATGATTTTTCTTTGTGTTTTCTTCATGAATTATTAATGAGTATTTTAAGGTAAATTGCTTTGCTACCAAAAATTTTGCTAAGAATGTATCCAGATAAGGACTGTCCAGGTGTTAACATTGGCTTGACAAGCTTGTTTCCATGCCCCACCATAACTTCCACTCTACAGATGTTAAAATAACAAATCTATTGCATCATACATGATGTGCAACAATTAGCTGAATATCATTCTGTAGGCAGTTAAAGGTTAAGACCAATTAAAAATATGTCTGTTTGGCCATCCCAGATACAGTAGATTTGTAAATACTACAGTATTTCCATATTTGTCATTTTGATCAGCAGCCATCAGAAAATAGTCTGACCATGCAAACAATGGCAATTTAAACGTAAACTACTGTTTTAAAAATCTTCCACCCACTCTAATTCTTTTCCAAATAAGTAATGAAAAACAGAAATATTATTTCATTAAAACTCGTCATCATGCCTAATAAACTTACAAAATGTTTACTTCCTGCAATGCACTTTTTGAATTGTAATTGTTGTTAACAGTTATCATTATATTATTACTCAAATTACTGTATCTCATTTTGTATTTGATATTATTTTGCTTTATCATGAAAAATAGCAACCCCCTGCATTCCCTCTGGCCAGGGCTAGGAGGGTGTCCACCCCTGCACACCCCCAGTAAATCCATCCCTGCGCCACTGTACGACGACTAAGGTAGATTTGAAACATTTGCTTTCTCTTGTTGTTTAAAACCTCCACTGTGTCCCAGGACCAGGGAGGTAGAGTGGGGCTTCAAATTCACTAGTGCATACAAAAATATACAGTATGATGTATATGTTGTGCCTTCAGGAATTTTGCCTGCAAAACAGCTGGCAAGATGAGCTAACCTGCAGCCCCAAGAAGGACGATTTACATTGGCTAAGATCTTTTCAAAGCAGTTAATTATCAATAGTTTCAAATTTCTGATCGACTTAAATGGCAGGCCAATATGCTGCGTGCTGGCCGGTGTACCTGACCTCGCCTTTGCCTCGCCTGCCTTCCAGGTATTTCACAGTAGGAATACCGTCTTCGACGCTGGATGACATGTTAATATTAAATTTACAAATGTAGCAAATATACGGACACGTTACATGCAGACATGTATCAAATGTAGCAACGTAGCAAATATATATAGTCATGTATACCAACTATTATCTGTAGAAAATGTAGCAACGTAGCAAATACATATAGTCATGTATACCAACTATTATCTGTAGCAAATGTACCAACGTAGCAAATATATATAGTCATGTATACCAACTATTATCTGTAGCAAC